CCTCCCTATACTTTGAAATCATTCAAAGACCTCCCTTTACTCTCCCAAAACATACTACTGTCCTCCCTCTACTTTCCATTTTCATACTGGTTACCTTCCTTACCTAACACCATTACTAACTATTTATAATCAAACCTCACCCATTTATTTATTTATTTTGATGAATTTCAATTGTAAGCTCCACAAGTTCCATGTTACTCAACATGTCAACCACTATGTCACCAACCTAGATTTGCCCCCAAACTTATGAAAATAATACATTCACAATTTATTTCTACTAATGTGAAAGTTATGCTTTTAAAATTGTCTACCAAAGAATTAATTTGAAGCTGTATAAAAATTAATTATAATTAATTATAATTAAGATTATCTACCAAATGATCAAATACACCTGCAATATCAAACACAAACATAAGTTTTTCTTGGGGGGTTTATCCACTTTCTTTTTGGCTAAGATAATAGAATAACCTAACTTAAAATTTAGCACAATAAAACTCTAGAATATTAGCCAATCACCAAAATCAAAGTAAGCATTCTAGAGTAATTAGTATATGAATACCTCTTTTTGCTTTTGCTAAAATTGGCTGTACCACAACATGCATAGTGATAACCCCTTTTGGTAGCTTGCCAAATGGTACCTCGCACTAGACCAACGATCTTGTTGTTATCCAAAGTTTTCTCAGCATTTATTAGTTTGACATCATTGGCTAACTTGGGTGCAATTATTTTATTTAAGACACATCAAAATATTTAGATACGATGTTAACGAAAAGAAACATGTAGCAATAAATCGATATGAGACACTAATTATTTGAAATTATCTAAAAATTTTTAGTATAAATTTATTTTTTTATTTTAGTTTTTGTGCTATGTGAAGTTTTTTTTTTGAACAAAAATCTTTTTTTAGTGAAATTTATATATAGGAATATGAACAAAAAGACTAGAAATAATCAAAAATTTAAAAAGCTTTTAATGACAAAAAGTGAAGAATAAGGATATATTTTGGTTATTTTGGTTAATTAACCAAATTATCTAAATAATTTTGGATAACTAAAATTATAACTGAATTAAAAATTTGGTTCGAATTGGGTATAAAGGTCTTATCTAAAATTATTTTGGATAATCCAAACCAAATGCCTAGTTCTACTTGTTTGACTCTATACAATTATTATAACATATAAATTAATGGATTTTTTTATGATTTCTCTTATTGTATTATCTATAAAAAATAAATTTGATTAAGGTAATTAAAAAATAAATCCATTGATTAATATATAATAGTTTATTTCAAGAATTATTATTATATTTTTTTTATAATTAAGGTATTTCAAAATCAATTTTTGTATACCTTCAAATTAATCTTTTGGTAGATAGCTTTAAATGCGTAACTTTTACAGTGGTAAAAATAAATTGTGTATGTATTATTTTCATAAGTTTGGGGGCATATCTAGGTTGATGATATGGTGGGTGATATCAAACTTATGGGGTCTACAATTGCAATTCATCAAAAAAATAATAATAACCTAATAAATGGGTGCGGTTTGATGGTAAATAGTTAGTAATGGTGTTAGTGTTAGTAACGGCGTTAGGTGAGGGAGGTAACTAGTATGAAAATTGAAAGTAGAGGGAGGATAGTAGTATGTTTTGGGAGAGTAGAGGGAGGTCTTTGAATGATTTCAAAGTACAAGGAGGAAAATGAATGAAAAAGGAAAGTAGAGGGACTATAGTTGGCTTTTTGTTAGATTATAATTTGTGGAACTCTTACTATATGATATGTATTCATTGAAATTGAGTGTATTGGACTTAGAAGAAAAATCTAATTGCATACATTAAATGCCCAATTTAATCCTTAAATTTGCATTTTGAATATTTTCAGTTTGGTCCTTAAATTATTTTAAGTATTTCTTTTGTTCCTCAACTTTACATATTGCACTTTTTCGTCCTTCCCTTAGTTAAGTGATGATGTGCATTTAAGAATTTATTTTCCTTCAATTTATTGATGACATATCTATTTTAAATGGGTCCCTTAACTAAGTTGACATAATATGTAGCATTCATGTTAACAATTTTTACTTAAATGGATAAAATAACAAATTAAAAGCTAAAAAATTAGTGACCGATTAAATTTCTTTATAAATTAAAAATAACAAAGCTTACGAAATGACAAAAATATCCTTAAAATATTTTCTTCCTTCTCAAACTTCTTTCCTACTACGGTCAATGTAATTAAGCTAATTTAATGACATGTAATTGCCACATCATAAAAATGTGCCGTTTTGGATTAAGTTAATGACTACATCATCACTTAATTGATTGGGAAAAAAAAAAAAAAAAATACAACTTGTGAAGTTGGGGGACCAAAAAAGTACTAAAAATAATTCAAAGACCAAAATTATTTAAAATGAAAAGTTAAGGAACTAAAATTGATATTTGACCAATTATTACTACTCGGAAGCAACTTATATTGTTTTTTAAAACACTACTTCAATTTGGTTTTTGTTGTTAAAAATAGCTAATAACTATAATTATTAATTGATAAAAAATAAAATAATTAATATTTATCATTTAATAAATTAAAATTAATTTATATACTCATATTTTCTTAATCATTATATATAAATATTTTTAAATATCATAACTAATAATTTATTAAAAAAAGTAATATTTGTATGTTCTAACACATTACGCTTTCACATTGGACCATAAACACGCTAGGAAGGATGTCACGCCCCAAAACCCGAATTCAAAGTGTGATAAACGACGTGCACTCGTGAATGAGTCCCATGAATGCACAAGACTCGGAACTTATCCAATTCACATTTGACAATCTAATAACTTAAATCAGATATTTCAAAATTTCTTTCTATGTCCAACATGACTTAAGCTCAAAACCTCAAAGATCAAATCTCTTGTAAACTAACAATCCACTAAATGAAGTTATAAAATCTCCAATTACAATCTAGCTTACAATATCATCATTTATCTCTACAATCTATGTTCACTTTCCAAGATGGCTAACCTTCTAACTCGTCATTCCCCTTGGTTTCCCCGTCCTCGGTTTTGCTTCTTGAAATGGTGGACAAGGAAAATTATGAGATAACTCAGTAAGTAAATATGGATAGCCCTTGGGTAAAACTTTTAAACATGCCAGATAAACAGTTTAACATAACAAAACGCTCAACGACAAAATCAGATTCAGTTTAATTGCAAAACATTCAGTGACAAACCGTCAATGCAAAATCAGATTTAGTTCAATAACAAAACGTTTCATGACAAACCGTTAATGCAGAAGAAAATTCAATTCAGTAGTCTCATCTATAAGTCATGGCCAGCGTTTATAAACCTCCCACTGGCGGGCACAATAGTAGTACCAGTGTTTAACAACTTCCATTGGCAGGCGACAGTAATGGTACAAGTGTTTACAACTCCCACTGGCAGGCATCAGTAATTACCAATGTATTCGCCCATTGGCAGGCGTCAGTAGTACCAGTGTTTAACAACTCCCGCTAGCAGGCGTCAGTAATTACCAATGTATTATCCCATTGGTAGGATGAACCGGTTCTACAAAAATACATGTCGACATGTGCTAGCGTTTGCATCTTCCACTAGCGGGCGTCAGTAATCATGACTATATCAAAGACAAAACCATGCAGAATTTACAGAAAACCAAATTTCACAATCAATCCTGAATTTCAGAACAAACCGAAAAATTTCCATGTGGGCATGGATTTAACAGAAAACTCAACATTTACAAAATTCTCAATTCATCAAAGCAGTTCAGTCAATTTCCAAATAAGCATGTTCAACTCCAGAAAAACAATGAAATTCTCATTTTCATTTCAATTATGCTCAATTCCAGAAAATCAATAAAATCCTCATTTTCATTCCAATCATGCTCAATTTCAGAAAAACAAGGAAATTCTCATGAAAATCATCCAAATTTTCATTTCAGTTTAATCACACTCAGATGCTGATAAAATCAATTTAAAATCAATTTAAACCTTGCCACCATCTCAAAAATAGTTTAAAATATGCTTTAAAATCAAAGGGCTTTACCATAAATTTACTTACCTCACTCGCACCAAACAGAAGGCTTAACCCAAGTGCTACGGTGATAGAACGATCAAAACCTAATCACAATATTCCACAATTAATACCGCATTATCACAAATTCAAAGTAAAATCATCTTTAACACTACCCCTAATCACGATGCTATTTCTATCAATCTCCATATAATTGGACATCTCCAAATTTATTCTTATATCACAAATTAATCATTTAAATCCCCATTAATCGTTGACACTTGGTGTGTGAACAGTGCCTATGAACAGTATCCCGTGAACAGTGCTCACGCCGTGAACAGTACTGCAACTTCCAAAAATTAGCAAAACCATAACTAATCTCACGGGATTTTCACACAAAACATCACAGCAGCCAATTAACACTCAATCACATAAATCTCACTTAAATTAAGCTAAATCATGGTCTAATTACTATCAAATTCATCCCCCTAATTCAATAAAATTAGGACAGCACTTGGGGCATCAATTAAATGAATAATTTTAGGTTTAAAGGGCTGTCCATACCAGAATTTAACAAGCAAAACCGGACTGTAGTTTGGGGGAAGGCCGGCGGCAAGTGCAGGGGAAACTCACGGGCTACCCAAAATTCAAGAACCAAAACACAATTCAAGTTAAACCCAAGCCAAATTAAAGCTGAAAAGATGAATTCACGGCTGTGGCTTACCCCGAAAAAGCCCAGAAATTCCAACCCACATAGCAGAAACCGACGGACAAGGGAGGAAGAAGCAGAGCAGATCCGGGATTTCTGGGTTGAGGGGGAGAGTTCTAAGCCCCAAATCTTGTGATTGAACAAGAAAGAAGGAGAGTTTTCAAGCCTTTTTACCGGTTTTCAAAGGAAGAGGAAGTCGGTGGCTTAGGGGAGCTTCGGTCGACTGCAGGGGAGGAAGAAGATAAGCAGAAGCAGAAACACGCGGCTGATGAGGAAGAAAAGAAAGAAAGAAGAAAAAGAAAAAGAAAAAGCAAGAAATCCTTATCCTAATTCCTTTCTTTTTAGTCCCTCAACTTTTGAAATTTGACTATTAAGCCCAAAAAAATATTTCTTTCACACATAAATCCCTAACTTAATTGATAAAATTTCTAAAAATTTGGGATATTACAAAGGAAGAGACTCAAAATTTGAAAAGCTGAGAGGAAGCTTCTTCCTTTATTCAACATTAGTATGTTCAGTACCATAAAAACGTGCTTTCCATGTTTGGATTATGTCATCAATCAAACATGATCACCACTAAATTATAAAGTAATTAGATTTGGTTCAAACGGTGATGCAGGGGAATTTAGAAAACTAGAAATGAGTAACGTTGAATCTGTCTTACTTTTCAGATGCTAATCTACGTTATTAATTCCAAAGCCCAAAAAATAAAATTTATTTTTTATTCCTTAATGAATTTGTACCCTTTTTCTCGGTTTAATTTAATAAATTATCTATTAAGTTTCATATATTTTTTCAATTTCATCTATTTTCTTTGGATTTTTTCAATCATATCTATTATCTTTCATATTCATTTCAATTTTGTCTAACCCATTTTCTTTAACAAAAATCTTCCTATTCTATAAGAGAATAGTTAATCCTCTAACTATATTTATTTTGATCTTTTAGTCCTTGAATTTACATTTATTGTAAAAATAGCTTTTACTCTTATCTTGCTAAATTTTTTAAATTCTTCTAGAGTTGACGCTCTACAAGCTTTATAAACATATTTGTCCCATGGTAACTCATTAGTTCTATACGGTATCATTCCTTCTTTTGTTATAATTTTTGTTATAGTATCAATCTGTTGATTATAAAATCTTATTGTCTTAATTCCATTCTTAAAAACATTGTTCTCTGGCTCTAATACTAGATTTCTTGAGGGTTCTCGAAACCTAACTCAAACTACTACTAATTAATGAGTAGCTAGTATGCTAAGCTTAGTAAATGTAGAATTATATCTATTAGGCTGCTAACAAAAATAATCTTTGCTTAGTCCTTTTTAATCTTTTTAGATCTTCATTTAAATCTGCTATTATTTGCTTCAATTTTTTGAGACTCTTGAATAGATGATAGTCATCTTCAATATTACTTTTTCTTCTAAAATTTTTACTATTTTATTTCTATAATATTTGCATTGCTACTCATAAACTTCTTATCTACAACAATTTCTTGAACAAAATTAAGCACCTTAGAGTATAATGAGTTGATATAAAAATGAACTTTTCTATTCAAAATATAAGAGGTTAGGTACTATTTCCCCATCATTTCTATTCTCAAAAATAATCTAATGTTAAAAAATAATAAAGTTGTTTCTATGCCCACCTGGGTTCCGCATGATAAAATAAATAATTAGAACTTTACCTGAAAATCCTTTGGTCTAGCCTTCAGTCAAGCTAATGCTTTCTTTGTCCAACTCTCAATGTCAAACTCAAGCTACAATGGGTATCCAAACAGGACAAGTGATTTCAGTACTGCCTAAGTTTTTTTAGGGATTCTTCTCATTGTATTTTATGATAAAAATAAAGAAGGTTAGAAACACAAAAATTATTCTAAAACATGTTTTTATTTTTGAGAAGAGAAAGGGAAGGTCCCCTTTCCTCTTGAAGGGTATTTACAAATGCATGGTAGAAGGCTTTCAGGTAAGGTATTTGGATGTTCAAATGCCCAATACCTATTATAATTTATAGGAGGCCTTTTATAGTGCTCCTTAGAATCTTTTCTTTTGTCATTGCTGACATTTAAAGTTTATATTATTGTCTAGTGATCTAGACTACTTCTTGCTTTTGCTAAAATAGATTACATGGAATCTTGCCGACACTCTTCTTTTTCTTTAATGACATAAGAGCTTGCATCTTTTTTCATTAGATTCTTTAGAGATCCTCTTCACTATCCGAGGGAGTCGTCCCTTTGTCATATAGGGCTTCAACTGTTCCTTTTGCAAATTCTTTTTTGTAGTAGAAACCATAATGATTGTCGTGCTTTAATAGTTTGCATAGTCTATTATGGACTACTTTACTGGCTATGACCATATTTTCAAAGATTTCCTTTCTATTCTACTTTATTTTGAACAGGCTGATACTTATCATTAATCTTGCACTAGTGGATACTACTGAGATTTCATTAGGGAGGCCATATGTCCATGTCTTCTTCATCTCTATTAGTTTGTCAACGGTTTGGAGTAAAACCTTGAATCCTAGAGCTCGTCTTTCCTGGATGAACTCAATCCCACAAAGAGACTCTTTAAAGTCTTGAAAATTTAATCTTCGTTTGCTTTTACCTTGATCTTCTTGGACTGAATTCCAATTCAAACTATATGATGACTGGGGAAATATTGAGATTTCTCCCATTCTAGTGCTGCAGAGTAGATTTTGACAAATACTACCCCTTGAGATTTGGTGCTAGTCTTGAAGTCTTTCACTCCTTGGTGTATAACTTCTAGAGTTTTGAAACTTTTTCATTATTTTTTGAGAGATAAATACAGTTTACAAAACTATAATTAAATAATTCTTTTATTGCTTTTGGGTTTGCACCCTACATGAAATTAATTATGGGATAAATCCCTTCACAGATAGGATGGCAATTCTCGGTGGACTTCATTGAATATACCATTTTACAGACTCTGCGGTATTCCTACAAATATTCTTCACTCATTGTCATTTTTGACAAGATGTCTATTATTATAACTTTCTTTTCTTTCTTTCCTAAGTAATCAGGTTGAAAGTTATGATTTTCGGCATTTTAAATAGCTGGCTTTTCAACTTGAGATGTTGATATTTCTGAGGGAGAGTATTTGACATAATAATTAAATTTCCCTAAATTTTCTCCGAGTAACCCTACTCAAGGGTCCCTTTCTTCAAAATTTTCTTTTAGCTCTTGTTGGGAGCTTCTCTTTGCCATTTGGCTAGATTCTCTTGAGTTGATTTCGATAGTAGTAATTACTTCAAAATCCATTATTGTTCTATTAGCTCTTTGACTTCTTCAAGGGCATCTTGTCCCTTATTCAATAACTCATGGCCTTTAATAATTCTTTCTTGGCCTTCATCCATGAGGTTATAGCCCTCATCAATTATCTCTTGGCCTTCAATCATTTTTTCTTGACCTTATCTTATTTGGCTATTTCCTTCATTGAATTTCTTTTGACCTTCAAGAATAAGGTCTTTTCTTTTATTTTGGAGTTTTAGGATCTCATCCATCAGCTCTTTCTCTGCTCAAGAAATCTACAAGACAATTGTTAATTCCTTTGACATGTTCAATTTCAAAGTCATATTCTGCGAAGAAAGTTTGCCATCTATTTAGTCTTTTATATTCTGCTTTAAAGGTAATTTATTAAAAATAAATCCTTTAACTTGAGTATTGTCAGTTTTGACCTTAAAATTTTATGGTAATAAGAAGAAACTAAACTTTTTTATTCTACTTTTAATAGCCAATAACTTTATGATTTGAATGATATCTAGTTTCTACATCCTTAAATGTACCACTAGCATGTCTATAAACTTTTTCTTGAGAAATTTTCAAAGCTGCTCCCAAAAAGAAAAAAAAATTTTTTTTTAAGGCATCACATTCTAAAATTAACTATTCATCTTCTTTAGGCAATTGTAACCTAGAAAGGTTTTTGCAATATTATTTTATTCTTTTTACATGATTAGTGTGATAAATGTCCTATTGTTGACTTTCTTTTTTCCTCAGCAATTTTTGCAAAGGATGTCTTAATTGAGCTAGGTTTTGAATAAACTACTCTGCATAATTTAGTATTCCTAAAAACCTTTGAATTTGTTCTTTAGATTCTAATTTATCTAGGAACATTGAAATCTTTTCACTTATGTGGGGCTATAATTATATTCCTATGGAATCTATCGTTAATCCAAGGAATTCAATTTTGGTTTTTTCCTATCTCTTATTTCTTTTCAGAAAGTAATATTCCATGTTTCTAGCATAAGTATGCAAATCTTTTAAGATGATATAAATGCTTTTTTTCATTATTAGAAAAGATTAATATATCATCTACATATATTATGCAAAATCTTCTAATAGATGAAAACACATTATCCATTCTTTGAAATATTTGATGTGCATTTTTTAATCTAAAAGGCATTACCAACCATTTATAGTTGCATGTAGGAGCATTAAAGGCCGTTAACGAAATACTTTTAGGAGTTAACTTAAGCTGCCAAAATCTTGATTTGCAATCACATTTTGAATATATTCTCTTTCCTCTAATATTATTGATTAGAGTTTCCTTATGTGGTAAAAAGTAACCATCAAATTTAGTTTTACTATTAAGTTGTTTGTAGTTAACAACCATTCTCACTTCTTATCTTTTTACTTCACTATGATTTCCAATCATAAAGGCAAGGCTACTATAAGGACTCTTGGAGGCCTGTATAATCTTCTGGACTATTAATTCTTAAATTTGCTTCTTGAATTCTTCTTTATCTTCAGGACTATACCTCATTGGTTTGACTCTAATGATAGTCTTTGGATCTATCAATTCAATAGTGGCATAAGTTTTATCAACTTCCATAGTTTTATAGGGTCTTCTCCAAAGTTGCTTCTTAAATCTTTTCAAAATAGATTCTAAGGTTACTTTTTCATTATTCCACAATGCTAACACTAGTTTTCTAATCTCTTTTGAGCGAGTTTTTCTATTGTCCTCACCATGTTAGTTATAGAAAATTAATGGCTATATTGCTTTAGTATAAGCATTATAAATTCTAGGGGTATAAAGCTAATGTTCACAAGGTGTATAAAGTTTCACATATGATGTAGTTTGAATATACTACTTGAATTGGCTTAGGAAATTGTTTCCTAATAAAATGCCATTCCCATGTTCATCAGTTTTTGCTAAACATATACCAAATCCTATATCTATAAAAGCATGAAAGAATTCTGTTTT